AGTCACACAGCCAGTGAGGAGCAGACCTGGGACCCCAGGACCATCCGGATTCCGTGCCCCCGTGCCCCCCACCCCTGCCCCCAGGCCCCAGGACAGCACTTTCGGCAGACAAGGCGGTCCCCGCGCGAGGTCAGGAAGAGAGGAGACTCCAGTTTGGCTCCTGCCGTCCCTCAGACGGGGTAGCTCTGGCCCTCGCCCTGCGTGGAGGTTTGGGTCTGCCCTCCACAGTGGCTAATTCTCCCCTTTCCCCTCCTCTCTGCCCGGTAGAGCCCTTATGCGCACAGGTGCGCACCTGCCCGCGCACCTGCCCGGCGGCGCTGGCGCTGCCGTCCGGAGGCCCCCCTGCCCAGGCCCGCGGAGGGTGGGGCGCAGCCCGTCCCTCCCCTCGTCCGGTGGGGCGGGGCCGGGCCGGGGCTCAAGCCCTGTGCGAGGCGCCTGGACCCCAGCCCCCTGCGGAGAGGCCTCCAGCGCCCTGAAGCTCGGCCCCGCTGCCCTCCATCGGGCGGTGGCCCTGAGGCCAGTTCCTAGCCCTGAGGGTCACGGTCGCCCCAATCCATGGGTCTGTGGGGGCGCCCGGCTTCCTGGGAAACCCGGCCGTGCCGTGGGGGCTGGGAGCTGTACTGGGCGAGGCCCCGGCCCCCTTCCGACACTTGACCTCAGCCTGGCTCTGGCCGACCTGGGGCGGCCCTCGCTCTCCCCTCTGGGCAGCTGCGTCCGCACTGGCCTTCCGCTGGCCCCTCGGAAGTGCCCTCTGCAAGATGGTCCCGAGGACCACTGTCCTCCACGAAGGCGCCCGCATCTTCCTGGTCTCCGGCGCAGTGTGGCCGACGCCGGTGGCCGTGGCTGCGGGACCAGGCACCCACCTCTCACGTTCCTGGGCCCGCACGGCCACGCGGGCAGTGTGGATGCTGGCCGTCCCGGTGACGGTGCCCACGACGGTCTTGGGGCCGCTGGTGAGGTGAGGGGCACGCATCTGTCTGCTGCGTTTCTGCGCAGGTACTGGCGGGGGCACCAGCTGCAGAGGATGGTGCTGCCTTTCACGGTCCGCTGGGCACGGTCACCACCACCAGGAGGGCAGGGGCGTGGCCCGCTGTGCCCCTACCCTGGAGGCCTTTCTTCCTCTGCCGCTTCCCCAACCACCTGGCCACTGTCTGGGATGTGCTGGTGAGGTGACGTGTGACCTGGTGCCCCGGGGCACCATGCGTCTACACCGTCCATACCCGCACCTTCCCTGTCACCACCTGAGGCAGGAGCTCGGTGGGCCCTGGCAGACACCTCCAGGGATCTGGGAGCCGGCTGGGGCCCCCCGGGGGCGGCTGGGAGCCCTCTGCCCGGAGAGAAGCCCGTCTACCGTGGCCAGCGACTTGGACAGAGAGACACCTGGGCGAAGGGTGCTGAGCACCTCTTCTGGGCTCCACCGGGGCAGACGCCTGCACCCTAGGGAGAGCCAGTCTGGGCTGTGGCACCCTCTGGGGGCCCAGTCCCTGATCTCTTCTGGGCGTGGTGGGATGTGGGATCACGTGGGGGGCGTCTTCGCTCACCGGGAGGCCTGGGTGGGACACGGGGAAGGGAGAGGATTGGGGATACACCTTCTGTGTCACCCACAATTGTGTGGGCCTGCTAACACGCTCCCGCCTCTGGTCCAGTGCGGACAAAGGTCCGTGGTCCCATTTCTGCCTTTTGTGAGAATTCTCGGGAAAACTCCCAAGGGTTCTAGGCTAACAGACCAGAGGTCAGCACATCAGCGCCCGTTTCCTTGTCTGTCCTCCCCCACACCCCTACGCTCACACCAAACACGGTGTGTGCCCTTGTTCTCTGGTGCCAGAGCCAAAAACGCCCTCCCCCGCCTCCAGCCGTCTCCGCATCTAGCATCTCAGGTGCCCAGGGAAGCTCGGTACCTGCAGGCCTCAGCTGAGAAAGCGGAGCCTGCGGCAGGGGGATGCCCCACGTGAGTCCTGCCGCCTCGCTGGCATCAGCCCAGGCCCAAGTGTACACTCCCTGTGTGTCTATCCTTAAACCAGGATTTGGAAGAAGCGGGGAGAAGTCAAAGATGTGGGTGGGGCGAAGGGAGGTGAGAGATGGGCGGGGGGCTGGGAGAAGAGGGGGCTGCAGGTGCGTCCAGAGAAGTGGGAACCAGAGTCAGAGGCTCATGTGCGTGTCCCTCCCCACCCCCTGTCCCAAGCGTGCAGCTCAGAGGATCAAGGGGCCTGGAATTACGTCATAGCTCTGTCGCTAAGCAGCGGAGGGACCTCGGCAAGTGACTTGTCTGCTGGTTTTCTCATCTGTAAAAGTGGGGCGTTGAGGATTCACCAGCACCTGACGTAGTGTGGTTATTACTCATATTTTGTGTAAAACGGAATCAGAGAGAAGGAAGAGGAGGAAAAGGAGAAAAAGGCGGCAGCGGGGGACACGGACCCAGAGCCGGATAGGGCTCGTCTGGGATGATGTTTACACGCTCTGGAGTGAAGTGGAAGTTTTACATTAAGGGCTGAGAGGGGTGCCTGGCTGGCTCAGTTGAAAGAACACACAACTCTTGATCTCAGGGTTGTGAGTTCAAGCCCCACGGTGAGTGTAGGGGGGTGTAGAGCAACAGAAAGAAAAGAGAGACAGAAAGAAAAGAAGGAACTGAGTGAGGGACTGGCCCCTGGTCTCCGTATCCATGGAGACCCAGCAGCGATACCGGAGAGGAACAAGAGGGACTTCCTGGGGAGCAGCTCCTGGACAGGATGGGGGTGGGCAGAAGGAAGATGGATGGGGTAGAGCCCCCACTTCCACCCACAGGCCCCTGTGCACCAGCTCCCGTCCAGGTGCTGAGCAGACTGCCAACAACCGCCTAATTCACAACAGGGACATGAAGCCACGTACCAACATTTAATGTGCTGCCTGACGTTTAGTTTCCTCCTTTTGATGTTTAAACTGGTTCGCGTCTGTCAGGATAGAAAATCCTGTTCCCAGTCAATTCAGGATGGAAAATCCTCCCCTAAGTGGCCCTCTCTGTCACCCCTGCAGCTCCTCTGATGGCTTTGCTGGGATATTGGCTCCCCGGGGGTGTCTGTGCTAATGGAGCCTGGAGGTAAACACTGAGTTTATTATTTTCTTTTTTTGTGTGGGTTTTTTTAGAGAGAGAAGGCACCTTGCTGAAATCTCAGTTCTCTCTCTCTTTTTTTATGTTTATTTTTGAGAGAAAGAAAGAGAGCGTGAATGGGGGAGGGGTGCAAAGAGGAGGGAGACACAGAATCTGAAGCAGGTTCCAGGCTCCGAACTGTCAGCACAGAGTCCAACGTGGGGTTTGAACCCAGGAACCGTGAGATCATGACCCAAGCTGAAGTTGGATGGTTCACCGACTGAGCCCCCAGGCGCCCCGGTAAGTACTGAGTTTAAACAAGCCCAAGTCCGAGATGAGGGACTGGGTGCGCCTACCCTTGGAGAGGGGAGGGTGGGAGAGGCAGGGGAGGGGCAGCGAGAGGGCCGGCGCGCAGGCAGCACGCGGGCCGGGCACCCCGTGCAGTGGGAGGCAGGCACGGCACCAGGGGCTGGGCTGCGGCTCCCTGCAGCCAGCGGCCAGAGAGCTGTGAACCTGCAGCGGGAAGGACAGACACTAAGACTGGGTTCGGGGAACAGCCACGTCGGAGAGGGGTGGGCACCAGGTCTGGGGTTCAAGAGGGGGCAGAGGGCCAGCGCTGTGGGGTTACGCCAGTGCTGTCGTGGGAGCCGCGGGCTTCTCCATGCCCACCCCGGGCTCTATGGCTCCGGGTCTCCCCTTCTCCCCTGACCGGCGTCCCCCACTGGCTGCGTGACAATGTTGGAGGAGCCCGCGCTGCCCTCTCTTGGCCCGAGCACTGTCACCACCCCCACCCCAAGGCTGGCCCCTGACAGGTTTGGGACCCAGCCTCCAGCCCACAAGGCAGCGAACTCGAAACCTGGTGCTCGAGGGGACGCGGGGAGACATGGAGGACTGTGGTGAGGGCACCGGCCCCCGCCCACCTGAGACCCCAGAACGGAGGGGAAGACAGCACCTGCGGAAGGCCTGCTGCGCTGGGCCAGACGGGCCGGACGCAGGTGCGGCCCCAAGCCCCCCACCCTCTGGCTGATTTCAGTTCCTCTTCCCAGCGGAGGTGGTCCCCTGTGCCGGCCAGTGTAGGAGCGCGTGTGCCAGCGTGTCAGTGCGTGTGCCTGGGAGTGTGTAACCAGCGTGTGTATGAGCACGTGTGCCAGTGTACAAATGCCTGCGCCAGTGTGTGCACCAGCGTGCGCACCAGCACACAGCCACCAGCCACCCTCCTCCTCCACGCCCCCACCCCAGGGACTGACCAGAAACAGGAAGTAGGGGCGCCTGGGGGGCTCAGTCGGTGAAGCGTCCGACTTCAGCTCAGGTCATGATCTCACGGTTCGTGGGTTCGAGCCCCACGTCGGGCTCTGTGCTGACAGCTCAGGGCCTGGAGCCTGTTTCAGTCTGTCTCCCTCTCTCTCTGACCCTCCCCTGCTCATTCTGTCTCTCTCTCTCTTTCTAATAAATAAAACATTTAAAAAACATTTTTTTTAAAGAAAAAAAACAGGAAGTAAAATTAACCAAAACCGAGAACTGAAACCGACCAAAACCGGCGTAATCTCTCGCTGAGTCTGGAAGAGGTTGCACCAGGGCTGTGACACGGCACAGAACTGGGGCACAGTGACTCTGGGGACAGGCTGATGGGAACTGTGTCCAGAGGGGAGGCGTGGGGGCAGGAGGCTGATGTCACTTCTGAGCAGGACATGCAAAGGAGGCGGGGGCAGGAGGCGGAAGGCACCGGAACCCACGGGCCCCTCCTTCCGTCCTGCTGTCTGCGGGCTTCCACCAGGACAACGGGGCTCCTGGCAGCGGCCCGTCTGCAGGGGGGCGGCTTACCCTTCCTGTGAGAGGAAAGGCCCCTGGGGGGGGGGCACACAGGTGGTGCCTGCCCCTCCCTCCACTGGCGCCCTTGGGGCAGAGGACATCAAGACACATGGAGAGAGACAGCACCTCGTGGGGTTCCGGGTCTTTAATTTTCCCTGCTTTATCTTTTTTTTTTTTTTAAACAATCAAATAGGCAGAAAACGGGGCTGGTGGGCACTGGGGGTTCGTTGAAAAATCCCCAAAATTCACACTGAGGTTTCAGTCATGGTCACTGAGATGGGGATGAGGTCAGGCTTCGTGGAGATTTCCCAACTCACCCTAGAACGTTTTTCCCAAATGGATGGAGAAGAGGTCAGACTAGGTCCCCCATTACTGCAGATGTGGAAGTGGTCCCCCCACCCCTCAAGCTCCTCTGATACGCGGAGACAGAAGGCTGTGATTTCTAATCGCCTAAAATCATCTCTTAAAAATACAAAACACGTGCAGTTGGCTTTGGTACAAAAAAGAAAACAACGACAACAAAAAAACATTCTGGTCCCATGGGTGTTCCCCTCACCCCCCAAGAAAGCCGTCAGGGCCACCTCAGCCCCAACTCCGTCCGCTCAGGGGAGCCAGGCTGTCTCCCCGGGGTCCCCGCAGAGGCCGGCGGGAGGGCTGCAGTAGGAGGCTGGGGGGGAGGGGCGTGGCCCTGCCCGCAGCCCTTCTAGGGGGTCAGCAGGGTCCTGGGTGCAGCCTCTCCTCTGCCGGTGTTGCCCGGGAGGGGGGTCAGGGTTAGAACCCAGCAGCTGCATGGTTAAGCCTGAATAAACCCCAGTAGTGTTACAGGACAAGGCCCCCTGATCCCTATGGCTTGGTTCCCGTGTCCCTGGTGCTCTAAATCTCCCCACTCCCTGCGTCACTAATAAACAATAAATAAATAAATTTTCCTAAAGTAGAGGGCAGAAGGCATGAAAAACTGGCATCTGTGGTGTAGCGTCTGGATGCCACCAGGGGGCACTGTGGCCCAGTTCCTCCAGCTTCCTGCCTGGCAGCAGGGGTCCCAGGAGCCCGGGAGCTGGCAAGGACACTCAGCAGTTCCGGCGTGCCCTCGTCACTGGCGGACTGCAGTCCCCAGAGTTTGCCACCCTCGTGTGTTCTTCCTGGGGGCACAGGGCGGGGGAGGGGCCCCCTTAGCTCTCTGAAGTCACAGGCTCCCCGTCGCGACTCTCCGTCTCTTCCGGGATGTCCTGCATTCGGGTGAAGTCTGAAGGGGGCAGGGCAGCGTTAGTCAGAGGGCGCCCGCTCTGTGAGCAGCAGCACCCCTACGTGGACGCCACCCCATCTGGGCAGCTGGCCGGAGATCTGTGAGTCCCCGGGTGGGCTCAGACCTCTGTGACACTGTGTGCTGGACACCGGTCCTCAGGGTAGGAGGATACAGCTTGGCCAATAAAATACAAAATGTTCTGGGCGCCCGGGTGGCTCAGTCGGTTGAGCACCTGACTCTAGGTTTTGGCTCAGGTCATCCCAGCGTCAGGGGATCAAACCCCACATTGGGTTCTGCCGACGACAGTGTGGAGCCTGCCTGGGGTCTTCCCTCCCCCTCTCTCTCTCTGCCCCTCCCCCACTTGTGCTCTCTCTGTCTCTCTAAAATTAACAAATAAATAAATAAAAGGAAGGGCGCATAGCTGGCTCCGTTGGGTAAGCGTGCAACTCGTGGTTTCAGCTCAGGTCATGATCTCACAGTTCATGGGATCAAGCCCCGTGGCAGGCTCTGTGCTGACAGTGCAGAGCCTGCTTGGATTTTCTCTCTCCCTCTCCTCTCTGCCCCTCCACCCCGCATCTCTCTCACTCTCAAAATCAGTAAATAAAACTAAAAGAAAAACCCCAAACAAATAAGATACCAGATATTTTAAGATGGTTATGTAAAGACATACTAGCTTTTGGTTATTTTGTATTTTCCAAACGAACTATAAGAACCTCAAAGGTCTTAGAATTTTTTTTTCCCTAGGAATCTATTTCTACTTGAAGGGGCCGGCATCCCACTCACTGGAGAAGGAGGGAGGGAGGCTCCTACATGTGCTTTCTAGAGCTCCATTCCCTGCTCACCATCAGAAGAGGCTGCAAGTGTATCCTCCGTGCCCCTCCCAAGAGTCACCAGCGCCCTGGGAGGTTACTTAGGGACCACCTCAAATGTTCCCAGGACACACAGCTAAGGGCGGCACCCCACTTCCTTTCTGCGCCTCACCTCGTGGACTGTGGGGCGGGGACAGGCGGCTGCCCCCTTCCTCCTCACTGCCCGTGTCGGGGTCACTGCTGTCCTGCAGCCGCTCCTCGGGGCTGCCCAGCTCATGCCTCTCTCGGTCCTCAAAGGGTCGATGGACAGAGCGAATGGTCACAGACAAATCCAGGCGGTCGTGGCCTCGGCTGGGCTGTGACGGGCCGGCAGGAAAGGCAGCAGGCCGAGGAATGAGCTCAGCCAGGGCGGCACCGCTGAGCGCCTTGTGCGCCTGCCCACCTGCCCCAGCCCCCCAGCCGGAGCCCAGATCTGTGCCCCACCATGTAACCCAGCCCCCCCAACTGCCTGCCCCAGCCCCCCCCCCCCCTCCTGCGCCTAGTTGCGTTTAGCACTCAGCCTGCAGCCTTCGGGCTCAAGTCCCCTCTTTGGGTCAGGTCCGCAACCCCCCTCACCTGGGGGGGCGTGAAGCTCAGGTAGAGGGCGTCACCCGCCGGGAGGCTGCGGCGCCGCGGGTCCAGGGGCCTGCGGGCCCAGGGGGCCTCGGCCGGAGGGGGCTCGCTGTGGCCCAGGGCGGCCAGCTGCCGGCGCGCCTCCTCGGCCTCGCGCTCCAGCAGGGCCCGCGCCTGCTCGCTCTCGCGGAGCCGGGCCTCCAGGTTGCCCGCCTCGGTGGCGCGCTCCTCGCCCAGCCGCCGGCAGCGCCGCAGCTCCTCCTGCAGCAGGGCGTGCTGCCGCTGCAGCAGCGCCAGCTCGGTGGCCTGCTTGTCGGGGGCGGCGGGGCCCGGCCCGGGGCGGCCCAGCTCCCCGTCCCGGGAGTTGGCTCGGGTCAGCTTCTCCCGCCGCTCGGGGCCCTCGGGGAAGCGGGCCTCCATCAGGGTGTCCTGCTGGGCCACGGCCGCCTGGGGGGGGACGAGAGAGGGGCGTCAGGTGTGTGGACACCCGGTTCCCAGGGGAGGGGGGCGGCTAGGGCAGGTGGGCTGGCCCCGCCCCTCCCCGGCTCCTCCCACCCCGGCTCCGGCTCCTCCCACCCGGCTCCGGCCCCTCCCACCCCGGCTCCGGCCCCTCCCACCCGGCTCCGGCTCCTCCCACCCTGGCTCTGGCTCCTCCCACCCTGGCTCTGGCTCCTCCCCCCGCCCCACTGACCTGGAGGCCATGCAGGAGGCCGTAGAGATTGACCAATCGCTGTAAGGCTTCCTGAAGACAGAGGAGAGGGGGGGACAGAGCCCAAGCTTCAGGACGGCCAGGCTGCCCAGAAGGTGACTAAATGTGGGTTTGGGGACAGTCGGCCTCCAGACACTTGCCCATGTAGACTCTTCTTGACACCACTCCAAACTGGGTTCTGATTTCTCAGACCCCCCCATCCCCGCTCCCCTCCAGTCCACCCTACCTCACAGCCCCTCTCACCTCCTGGGGAGCCCTCAGCTGATTTCCATTCCGATCCTGCAGAGACAGGCAAGGATGGGGACTCACAGGCACAAGGTCCCCGGAGCGGGTCACCCATAGCTCTGTGTAGGGCTGAGAACCCGGCTGCCCCATCCAACCCTCTGCTAGTGCCGGCACCTCCCGCGGACCCACCTTCTGGCTGGAGTCGGAGTCTGCTCTGCAGAGCTCAATGGAGCCATTGAAGGTTCTAGCCTCACCATCTGCGGAGGAGGAAAGGAAGGGCCAAGCTGGCGACCTCAGGGCCCTGCAATTTGGCCCCTCCCGCCCCCCACTGCGGCCCCAGCCCGCACTCACTGGCGGTGACCCCAGGACTCGTGCTACCCCCGCCGTCCGGGTCGGCGGGCAAGGCTGGTTCCCGGGCTGTGAGGAGCAGCTCCACGCCGGGCCCCACCAGGAGGTCCTTCAGGCCTTCCACTGTGGGAAGGACCCATGTAAGGACAGGAGCCACGCGCAACCTTGGGGGGCACCTTCCACCCCCGCTAGGGCAACGTTCTGGCATCAGGGAACCCCCTGCACAGGTGGGCTCCGTCGCACCACCACCCATGAGGCAGAGGCAGACCCTGCCCCCCACCCGCCTCCGGGCACCAGCGGGCACCCCCACGGGGCTGGGATTCCCCCTTGTGTGTGCCCATATTCTGGGATGCCGCACGGGGAGGCCTGGACTCTTCCCTAGGGGCTCCCTCACCCTCACGGATGGCATCCTGCAGCAGCCGCTCGCCGCGAGGGCACTCCAGGGACTCGGAGCGGAAAAGGCCCCTGGGCAGGGTGGGCAGGGTCACCCCGCCACCATCGTCTTCCACCTGGAAATGGGTCATCTCGGCAAACAGCCCGACCTTCTCCTGCAGCAGCTCCACCAGCGCCCGGTCCTTCTGTTGCAGCTCCACTGCGGACGAGGGACGGATGAGCACAGGGCCGCCCGAGGGCTCACAGCCCGGGGCCCGGCTCAGTGGGAGGACTTAATTCTGAATTTTTGGCATTTATGTAAAAAATAAAATTTTTGTGGGGAAAGTCAATACATGCACTTTTGTTTTTAAAAGTAGGCTCCGTGAGGGGCGCCTGGGTGGCTTAGTCGGTTAAGCGTCCCGACTTTCGCTTAGGTCACGATCTCGCGGTTCGTGGGTTCGAGCCCCGCGTCGGGCTCTGTGCTGACTGCCAGCTCGGAGCCTGGAGCCTGCTTCAGAGTCTGTGTCTCCCTCTCTCTCTGACCCTCCCCTGCTCACGCTGTCTCTCTCTCTCCTAGAAATAAATAAAACATTAAAAAAAATTTTTTTTAAAGTAGGCTCCGTGCCCATCGTAAGGCTCGAACTCGCAACCCCGAGATCAAGAGTCACAGGCTCTACCGACTGAGCCAGCGTGGCGCCCCTACACTTCTGTTTTAGGAACAAAACCAGGACAGCCTGTGGCAGGGACCAGAGCTGCCCGTCCTCCTGTGATGGGAGAGTCCGTACAAATTCCATCAGGGCACGCGGCCACCCGCTTAGCCTGCGCCCCACAGCCCGCGCTGCAGCTGGACACTGCCACGGACTGACTCCTGGCCAGTGGACAGGCTGTCGCTCCAGATCAGCCCTTAAAAGAAAGAACAGAGGTGCCTGGTGCCTGGGTGGCTCCGTTACACATCTGACTTCGGCTCAGGTCCTGCTCTCCCAGTTCGTGAGTTCAAGCCTGTCAGGCTCTCTGCTCTCAGCGCAGAGCCAGCTTCGAATCATCTGTATCCCTCTGTCTTGGCCCCTCCTCCTCCATCCCCCCCAAAATAATAAAAAATAAACAAACATTTAGAAATAAAATAGGGGCGCCTGGGCGGCTCAGTCGGTTAAGCATCTCTTGGTTTCGGCTCAGGTCATGATCTCATAGTTCATGGGTTTGACCCCTGTGTCGGGCTCTGCACTGACAGTGTGGAGCCTGCTTAGGATTCTGTCTCTCTCCCTCTCTCTGTCTCTCTCAAAAATAAACTTTAAAAAATCTTTAAGGGGTGCCTGCCTGGCTCAGTTGGTAAGGCATCTTACTCTTGATTTTGGCTCAGGTCATGATCTCATGGTTCATGAGTTCGAACTCCATGTCGGGCTCTATGCTGACAGCAAGGAGCCTGCTTGGGATTCTCTCTCTGCCCCTCCCCCACTCATGCTTGCGCTCCTTCTCTCAAAAATAAACAAACATTTTTTTAAATATTGAAAAAAACCCCTCCCTGTTCCTTTCCACCTCCCTGCTAGCTGGGATGCAGATGTGCCAGCAGGAGCTGGAGTCGCCACTTTGCGCAAGGAGACAGGGGGTGGGGGGGTAGTCTTTGTGATAAGACGGTACAGCCGTACTGACCACCCTGCCCTTCCCACCTCCGGACTGGACACAGTCACCTTCTACCTTGTTTAGGAAACTGATTTTTGTTGGGTTTTTTTGTATAACACTTAGTTCATAGGCTAATTGATAAAACTAAAAAAAGTAAGTAAACGTCGCAATCCTGGTCATCCTGGTCCCCCTTCACCGGCCGCCACAGTAACGACGTGTATTGGAGGTGCTATGTGCACACACAGCGCACGGGACGCATCATCTTTACACCCGTGGCGGCAGACACTGGACGCTGCTCCGAACCTTGTTCTCTTTTTTTAAATTTATTTTTGAGACCGAGAGACAGAGCACTAGGTGGGGAGGGGCAGAGAGAGAAGCAGACACAGAATCCGAAGCAGCTCCAGGCTCTGAACTGTCAGCAGAGCCTGATGCGAGGCTTGAACCCACAAACCGTGAGGTCATGACCTGAGCCAAGTCGGACGCTCAACCGACTGAGCCCCCCCGGGGCGCCCCCAAACCTTGCTCTCTTTACTTAACGATACCTTCTGGTTATGGACGTATTCAGCCCTCATGAGCCATGTACTTTCCAAGTACCTCCACAGCTTTCCATCGTGTGGATGTATCAGAATTAACGAGCTCTGGGGGTGGACTTACTCTTGATTCGGCGCAGGTAGGCCTCATCCTCTGTCTCAATCAGCGGGAAGTCCTCCCTGGATGGGCATCTAGAGGGGTGACAGGGTGGGTGGGGTTGAGGACTCAGGAGTCAGCCTCCTTTCCATGCTCTGTGCTCCTCTGGTAAGTCACCAGCCCCGGGCCCTGGCTTCATTCACTCCCAGCCCCCGGCTTTTCCTCACACGCATCACCCGTCTCCACGGGTGTGTGTGACCCTCCACAGGCCACCTGTGGGGGGCGCCAGGAGCACGGGCAGCCACCGGCTTTGGCGTTCAGCAGACTGGGCCTAAATCCTAACACCATCGTTTACCAGGTGGTAATCTCTCCATTTCTCATCTGAAAAATGGGTATGATACCTCCTCAGGTTTTTTGTTAGAATTAAATGAGATAACAGAACAGTGCTTTGAACAAGGCAAGAGCTCAGTTAATCAATTACGAAGAATAATACTAATGCTAATGTTCGCAATTACGAATATGAGCGCTGTTAATAAAGAGGCCCCGGGGTCTACTGGCGACGGCACTGGGGTTTCCTAGAACAGGCAATGTCCTACTTTTGTACGCGTTTTTGAAAAACTTGTTCAAAAGTCTAAATTGCAGAAGCAAAACAAAAGGTTGCGTATTACAAAGTGGAGAAAATCCAGTTCTAAAAGCTAACAGAATTTACAAACATCCTGATTGGGTGTATCTCTTGGCATCGTCTTCAAGGACCCATTCTGAACGTTCTGCACGCATTTTGTTTTCTGTCATCACAAGAAACAGAGCGCCGACGGCCTCAACTCTAACGTGTGCCCAAGGACAGCCGGAGGCTGGCTGAGGAAGCACACGGAGCGATTTCCTTCTCGCCTTGCCCGTTCGGGGTTTGTGTGTGAGACTTACTCCTCTCACCTCTGGGATCAATGCTTTCATTCCCTTTTGCATTGAGTTTTAGATAATCAAGGTAAAACGCAATCCTATCCGAGTAACAGCCCACTGCGTACAGACCGGGGTGTTCGCGCAGCTGAAACTGTACTGCGGGCCGTCAGACAGGTCACCAGCAGGCTCGGGGGTAGGGTCAGGGGTGGGGGGTTAGGGTTAGGGATTGGGGGTTGAGTTAGGGGTTAGGGATTGGAGTTAGGGGTTAGGGTTTTTGGTTAGGGATTAGGAGTTCAGGGTAGGGTTAGGGTTAGGAGTTAAGGATTAGGGGTTAGGATTATGGGTTGGGGTTAGGAGTTAGGGTTAGGGCTGCAGTTGGGGTTAAAGTTAAGGGTTAGGGGTCGGGGTTAGGGGCTAAGCGTTAGGGTTAGTTGTTGTGGTTAGGGGTTAGGATAATGGGTTAGGGATTAGGAGTTCAGGGTAGGGTTAGGGTTAGGGGTTAGGGAATAGGGGTTAGGGGTGAGGTTAGGGGTTAGGGTAGGGGTAAGGAGTTAGTGGTTAGGGTTAGTTATTGGGGTTAGGAGTTAGGGTTAGGGGTTACAGGTTCGGACCAGGTTAAGGTTAGGCTCAGGGTTAGAGTTATGTGATGTGAGGGTCAGGGTTAGGGGCTGGGGTTAGATAGGGTTAGGGTTAGGGTCAGGGTCTGCCCCACGTACGCCTCTGCTTGTCAGCTCACGCTGCTGCAAGATGGTTGGGGTTGCCCAGTAGAAAACATGACTTTACGGGATGTGGGAACACAGGTGACCTTCCCCGCCTTGGGCATCGTGTTTCTCCCCCAGCCTCTGCCTCCACCTCCGAGCCCCGGGTTCTTGCCCCCAGGGAGGCCAAGCTGTGGCAGGGCCCCCCCTGCCCCCCGGCTGCAGGTTCCCCGCGGCCGCGCACACTCACACGCGCACGCTCTGCTGGATGACTCGGATCCAGGTGCTCCGGTCGTCCCGGGATGCCGTGTGGACCTCGTACATCTCGGGGGGACCTGCGCTGATCAGAAACATCCCCTTCTCCTGGTTGGCGATGTCCCGCACGATTAGGTTCTGCAGCGACACCACTGAGGGCTTGTCCTGCGGTCAGAAAGGGCGGTTGAACCTGGGAGCCCCACCCTGGGATACCTGGGTCTTTAGTCTTTCTGGAAAACCCAAAGTGTTGAAGAGCCAGCCTGTGATACGAGCCACAAAGCAGCCAGGGAGCACTTTAGGGGCACACGTGAGCTCTGACAAGTTAATTAACTTTAAGGTTTATTGGGGCACCCGGCTGGCTCGGTCAGAAGAGTGTACGACTCTTGATCTCGAGGTTGTGGGTTCGAGCCCCGCCCACACTGGTGTAGAGATTACTAAAAGGTAAATAAACTTAAGAGAAAAAAACACATTAAAAAAACCTTTAAGGCCTACTTTCCCCATCTGCAAAAAGGGGATCGGTAACGGGCCTTCCGCACATGGTGACAACACACGTGAGCTGCTTTTATTCCTTATGCCATTACAGTAACTGTTACAGTAACAGCCACGTGACTCTGGAGGGTTCTAGGGCTCTTTCCGGCTCGGGTGGAGGAGGAAGAAGAGCCGGGAGCACTCGTCTGAGCTGAGAAAGGGGAAGGAGGAGGGTCTCACCAGGGCAGGGAAGATGTACTTCTGGTCCTTCTCCTGGAGAAACACCAGCACGTCTGTCATCAGCAGCATCAGCACGTCTGGGCAGGGGGAGAGGTGGGAGAGCAGCCAGCATCAGAGGCCTGGGCGGCCACTTGCCTTTCCCAGGGTCCAGGCCGAACATGTCCGCTCAGGGCTCCTCATGACCCTCTTCCTGCCTCTCTTCCCTCCCACCTGCCCGTTCTCTCCGCTCTGAAAGGCCAGGGGAGAAGAGGCACGTGTCACCGGATCAAACGGCCTCCCGGCCAGAGAAGGCCGCGGGGGTCACTGGTGCCTCTCAAGGAAACCCTTTACTCAGCTGATGGCGGTTTCTTAACCTGGGGCCTGCAGACCCCAGGCTGTCCGCTGCTGGCCTCCAGGGGCCTAAAGACCTTCTGAAGTCGCAGAAGCAATTTTACACGTCAACACAACCCAGATGTGCATTTCCTGGGTGAAAGGGTCCCGAGTTCTGGGGAGAAGAGTAAAAAGCATTCCCAGAGCAGGAGAGGCCAGCCCTTTTCAGCCTTTAAATTCCATGCCTTAGGGCGCCTGGGTGGCTCAGTAGGTTGAGTGTCTGACTCTTGATTTCAGCTCGGGTCACGATCTCACCATTCGTGAGTCTGAGCCCTGCGCATCAGACTCCATATTGTCAGCGCGGAGCCTGCTTGGGATTCTCTCTCTGTCCCTCTCTACCCTCCCCTGCTCCTGCTCTCTCTCTCAAAACCAACAAAAGCTTATGTATATAAGTATTTAGATTCTATGCCTAGCAACCGACATACGGGTTTTTTGGCTATCTGACCTAAAATCCCCCTGTCCGGCACATTCCCAGGGCTCGAGAGGCAGGGGACAGTAGGACTTCACATCCACCTCTCGCGCAGCTGAATAATCCCATCTCCCACCACCCCAGAGGCCTCCTTCATTGTCCTTCTCTGTCCCACCTTCCAGCCACTCAGATTCCGAGTCCTACACTTTAACACCGACGGGGAAACGAAAGGTCAAGTCCTCAAAACTCAGATGCCACAGTCAAAAAAAACCACACGCTCACCCTTCGCCCTTGGAGATCTTACTAAACTGTGGGCACACAGAGGGGAGGGCTTTTGCTAAATGCTTCAGAAATAAAGCTCTCCAGCCTTGCTATTTTTAACCCCCATGGTTTATATTCTTAGCTGCTGCGTGGGAGGGATGGAAAAGAGAGAAAGGGATGAAGGCAGGCGCCTGTACGCACTGCAATCCCCCAGCCTGTGGAGTGGGGATTTCATGACATGAGACACAGGCTCAGGCCCCGGGGAGCAGACTCCCTCCGTCCCCCATTCGTCACCCCCAAATCCAAGGCCTGCTACTCTCTCCGCGTCTTGCTTGAGGTGACAAAAGACCTGGCCGGTGCGCTCTGGGGAGAGAGGCTGGGCAAGCGTGCTACCCCCTCGCTGCTCTTTCCCGTCTTCTCCCTCCCGCCTGTCCCTCACGGGGCTCAGCTCCCTGCTCCTTCCCTGGCCACGTTCCCAAAGCTCCTGCCCATCCTGCAGCCGCGCCAGCTGCCCCGATCTTGCCCCTGGTCCTAGAGCTGCTCGTTCTCATCAAGACTGGTGGCTCCCTGGGCACTAAGGACCAAAGAAAGGGGTAAATGCCGACCAGGAAGGCCCTGAGTGGTCCATGAAGCTAAATACAGAATTCAGACAGACTTTTGCTGCAACGGAGACTACGTTTTCCCTCCCATGGGCCCCCAGAGGCAGCGCTGCAGAGAGGGCTCCGGGGCTGGTTGCTTCTCTCCCTCTATGTCTGGCTCCCGGCTCTTGCCTGGCCGGCCACACGGACCACCGACCTTTAAAGCGGCCCGTCGCCGTCTTCCAGAGCAAGCAGCCGTCATGGATGAGCCTGCGCCGCAGAAGCTCCTCTCGGCCAAACGGGCCCTTGCCAGGCACGGGGGTCTGGGCGCGGGGGTCCATGCGGTGGTAGATCTCCTGCAGGCGGGCTCCCTTCTCCAGCTCATGCACATCCTGGTCCACGTTGGATAGCAGCTCCTTCACCAGCCCCAGGGCCGTGGTCAGGTCCCGGCGCTCCTCCTCGGTCCCTGGTGCGCAGGGGTGGCGTGAGGGGGGGCCAGCCCGCTTCAGGACCGCCCCAGGCTCCGCGTCTGACCCTGCCCTTTCCCTCGGTCACGAGCCTCTTTTCTCCCGACAGCCCCCCGCGCGCCCCTCCCTGGGCCCACTCCCTCACCGTGGGAGTGCTGGAGGATGCGGTTGATGAGCACCGGGTACTTGGTGATGCGCTGGGTCACCAGCAGGATGCATTCTTGCACCCCATGCCGCTTGAGCACGGCCGAGCGGGTCACCTTCTGCGAGGGGCCGGAGGGGGCCGAGGGGAGGGCAACAGAAAGGACACTGGATTTGGAGCCTAAGCTCTGGTGCGGGCCCTGACCCGGCCGTTTACCTCGCGCTGGCCTAGGGGGCCACACCTGGCATTCGGGGAGCACTCGCCACAGGCTTCCTATTAACCAAAGCAGCGCTCGGCTGGCTCAGTCAGTGACCGAACGCCTCCTGATCTCGGGCCGTGAGTTCAAGCCCCACACGGGGCATTTGCGCTGCCCCATGAGGGCCTACTGCGGACAGGCTCCACGGGGCTCGGAGAGCACACGGTGCCCCCCAGGAAAGGGAAAGGGCAGGCTCTGGGCGCAGGTCCCGGAGAGGTCTGCTCACCCGAATGAACTGCTGGAAGCGTTTGTCCCGGGCATACAGCTCCTTATAGAGCTTTAAGGCCTTGGTGTGGCGGCTGCAGAACTCGGAGTAGGTCTTCCGCATCTGCTCTGCGCTGGGTCCTGAGAACTGGAGGGCGGGGCTCGGTCAGCAACAAGCCCCGCCCCGGACGCAAGCCCCGCCCCGAGGCCCGCGGGCCTCAGGCCCCGCCCTGGCTCCACCCCCCAGTCCCGCAGCGCGGTCCGGCCCTTCTCACCTGGTGGATGAGGAGGTCGCCCAGGCGGGGGATGACAAAGTTCCTGGTGCTGCCGGGACACAGGGCTTGGCGCCGACGCTCCAACAGCTGGCCGAGGAAGCGCGTGTGGATGTCCGTGAGCTCGTCCGCGCAGGGAAACAGGCCCTGGACCACGCCCGGCTCCAGCTGCAGCTCCTCCAGCATCCCCGTGCGGAAGAGGCGCGTCATGATCTTCAGCGTCCGCACGTGGTGCAGCTCCGTCTGGATGAGCTCTGCGGGGACATGGGTCATGTGGACTCTCCTTGGCGTGGCTACGACTGATGGGGCCCAGGCTGGGGACCTCAGGACTCGTTTGAGGTTTTTCAGGTCTCTCCCAGGTTGCCATCCTGCTTTCTTATAGCTTCGGAGGGCTTTCTAATCATCTTGTGGCTTTGTGCTTTGCTACCTCAAGCTGCCTGGAGCCAAGAAGCACGTGCCCTGTCACGTGTCCCGGCCCCCAGTGTGTCGAACAGGTGGGGAGTCAAGGGGGAGAAGGATGGGGTAAAGACAGGGCCAGGGACACCAAGAGCCCAAGAGGTGGAGGCATAATGGCAACTTGTGGGCTAGAGGCGAAGGGCTGGGGGGCTGGGGGGCTAGCAGGGGCCGGGGGGGAGGGCTGGCGGGGGCTGGGGGTGCTGGCAGACGGAAGGGCAGATAACAGGCCCCGGTCAAGATCAAGGAAGAGGAGGCTCACCATAGATGACATCCTGCTGCTTCATCACCTCCTTCTTCTGCTGCTGCAGGAAGCTGCTGTCCACGGCTAGGCTCCAGGAGTCGGCCGCAAAGTCCCTCTCGTCCGTCTCAAAATCACTCATCAGCTCGCTGTAGATCACCTCTCCACCTGGATGTCAGCGGGGCCCGCGACTCAGAGCCCAACACTGCTCCCTGGGTCCTGGCCCTGAGACCCTGCCCGCCCGGCCACATGCAGGCCTCCCGGCCGAGCACCCGCTCACCTTCGTCAATGAGGGACTCCACGGACAGGGTTCGGTTCCGCATGTTGAGAGAGTCTGTGGACTGGGACAGGATTCGGCGCAGCCCCAGGGGGGACTCGTCACTGAAGTGTCTGAGGGAACAGGGTCTGTGTCACCCGGACTCAGGCAAGAGACCCCTCCCCAGACGGGGAAGCGAGGTTGGGGACCGAGGGGCGCTCACCCTGAGGTCTCTCTGTCCGTCTACTGTTCTGAACCCAGGGCGGGAAGGGCCCCTCAGGCTTCCTGCTCCCCACTGTCCCTCCCCGCCCGCCTGGCCGCCCCCTCCCCGAGCAGAGGCTCACCCAGCGATGTTGGTGGTGGAGACGCTCTTGGCTAAAGACAGGGAGGAGCGGCCGCGGCGAGAGCCGAGCAGAGACTGCCGGAAGCTGTCGGAGGGGTAGATGGCGGAGCTCGGCCGCTCCCGGGGGCCGGCTGGAGGGGAGACCCACAGGTGTCAAAGCCGCCGCTTCCTGGGGCCCAGGCCTCCCAGGCTCCTCTCCCACCCCCAGCCCTGCCCCCGGGGCCAGGGAGGATCACAGCGGTGCCCAATGACCCCTGCAGGATAACATCTGTCTTGTCTCAGTTCTTCCCCGAAACGAGCCCATGAGCCAACTGAAGCTCAGAAGCGTTAACAGACGAGTCCAGGGGGACTCAGCTGGTGGTGAAGCGGGGACTCAAGACTTTGGTCTTTCTGAATAAGCACCCACTCCTTCTGGGATGCCAGAGCTGTCCGAACGGGCTCTGGACAGCTGCCTCCGACACTCCCCCAGCGCAGTGGCCGTGCTCTGGTGACCCTCGGCCCTCACCCCCATCTGCATTCTGCCCTGACAGCCCCGATGGGCCCGGCATCCACTCCCAACTGAGGGGCAGCAGGGCCCGCGGGGGTACTTGGGAGGGGTGTCCTGCGTGCCCGCGACTCACTCTTACTGCGAAGTGAAACAGACTGCAGGGCTGTGCTGCTCTTCAGCAGGGCAGCTTTCTGTTGCTGTGAGACAGAGCGAGAGAGACATGGAAGACAGCTGTCACCCAGGGTCACGCCCACAGGCCTGGGCAGGCACTGGGCGGCCGGCCCCTCGGGAGAAGGCCGGCGCCACAGCCAAGGGCAGCAGGGCGCCGAGCCCAGCGCTAGGGGGCCGTGTCCGAGCAGGAGGCTGGCCGCACGGGGCCCGAGGCCTGGGGTGCAGGGTGCGGGTGGCCCCACGGCGAGGAGAGGGGTGGAGGAACACAGGGAAAGGCTTGAACGGAAGAGGCACACTCGCTACCCTCTCCCCCAGCCCGCTGCCCTCCCTGCCCTCTCACCTTCTGCTTGACCTTGGTACAGTTGGCGAGGGTGTCTTTACAGCGGTTGTGGATAGTCACATTGCAGGCTGGGAGGGTGGGGTAGAGAGGGTGAAGGGAGGGCCGGGTGGAGCAGGAGGGGACGCGCCCACATGCAGACACCCGTCTCCCCCTGGCCACGCAGTCTCAGAGACCCCCCTCTTCCCAGACCTCTCAGCCACTACCACACCCGTCCCTCCCCTCCCCTCTGCCTCCGCCTTCCTTCCAGCAGGGAATTGGGTGAGGGGGCGGAGGGGGCCACCATAACTAAGCCACCCCAACTCAAAGGTGACCTGAGGGGGGGACCGGAGGGAAGGAGGGGTTCTGGCTGCCAGAGCTGAGCTCAAGGAGCACAGGGGTGGCTGAGAGTGGCAGATGGCAGGAGACGCCCACGGGCCAGGAGAAGGCACGGAGCAGCTGGGGTGGGGGCCAGGGCAGGGGGGCGGCCAGCATCCCCGGCGGGCTCTACATCTCTGTGATCCTAACAACCCTTCAGGGCAGATGCAATTATCCTGTTACAGACCAGGAGCCTGCCTCCCGCAGAGGTCAAATCACCTGCCGGGGGTCAGCCGCCCAGGAGCAGAGCTGGGATTTAAACCCCGGCTGTGCTCTTTCCGCTAAACCTCATGTTCACCCACGAACTGCAGCCAGGCCTGAGCACTCGGGAGGCTGGTGGAGCCGGTGCCGGGGCGGGGTCAGGCCTGGCCGGCCCGCCTCCAGAGCCCGCGGGCCGTCCCCGCCGCTCAGCTCTGACTCCTGCCCTCCCCCCTCCCAGGCCCGGCGCCTGCCCCCCACCCAGGGCAGCCCCACAGCCCCACACTCCACCTGCTCCTCTCCCGTCACCCACCCTGCTGGGGGGTAAAAGAGGAGGACAGGAAAGGAAGGGAGGCTGGGCCTTGGCAGGGAGGCCGTTGGCTGTCCCTGTCCCCAGCGCGCCTCGGCCCTCTGCGCCCTCCCGCCTCCTCCGCCTCGACCAACAACACAGGAAACTCTGCAGACTCCTTCAGACAATACCCAGCCCCAGGCTCACTTCCACAAATACAAGGCCGGCAGGGTGGGGCGGAGGGCAGGTCAGGAGGGGGGGCTGCCCCTCCCAGAGCCCCGTCTTCTGCCCCCCAGCACCCGGCGTCTCTGGATCAAACCTCCGCTTTCCACCTGCTCTCAAAATAGCGCTTGCTGCCTGCCTCCCCAGTTCCCCTGGCAACAAGCTTCCCGACGGGGACCTCTGTCAGGCCTCTGCGGCTCTAGACTGGGGTTCCCTCCTCACCCTCCTAACTCTAAGCCGGGTACTGAGGAAGCGGGGAGGCCACACTGGGTCCGCCAGGGGCTCTCGCCCCCATTCCACAGGGGCTGAGAGGCTGGAGCCCCGGCCCCGCCGTCGCAGCAGGGCGCAGACCTCAGACGCGCCCCAGCCAGAGGCCGCTCTGCTATGATGAACTGGGGGCGCGTGAGCTTCTGTGCGGGTGCAGGCATGCGGGGAAGGGAGCCCCCGCCTTATACTTCCTGTATACAGGGCGCCCCGCAGATGCGGGTGAAGGTCAGGAGTTCTGCCCTCGATCCCCCACATGCATACCCCTGCTGCCTACCCCTTCCTCACTGTGCACTGGTCACACTAGGAATTTGAGACAGCCGGCCCTAATCCCGTCCTCTGCTTCAAACTGCAGAGACCGAAACATTTCAGGCTCCACCCAGTCAATAGAAAGGGGGGGGGGGCAAGGGGACCCTGACACCCCGGATGTCCAGTCCTGCCCAGGAAGATGGGCAGGACCAGGTGCGAGGCCTAGCTGGCCACCCGGCTCCCTTCCCTTCCCCCCTGCCCACACATAGGACATTCCTGATCCTGCTCCGAGCAGTCCCCCTCACCCTCAGCAGCTGCTCGGGGAGCCAGGGGACACCCAGCGGACAACAGCTGCAAGGGAGCCACCCCAGCCGCCCCCACCCCGTGCTCGCAGCTGGCCCTGCTCCGGCCACCAGCCTTCACGGGGAGGGAAGGGCAGCGAGGGATCAAGCATCTGGCCTTGGCACCGGGCCCAGCTGGGGCTCCGACAGAGTGGCCCTGTGCACCCAGGGCAGGAAGGACAGATGGCAAGGTTAGGGTCAGAGTGACATCCAGGGTCCAAACAACTCACTTGGGCAGATGAGGGCCTCCTTGGCCGTGATGCTCTTGTTGCAGGCATAGCACATGGTCATGCCTGACACGGAGATGGTGGTGAAGAGGTGCCCGTTGGTATAGCGGGCGTCCTTGGCTTCCTTCATCTTCTCCTTCTCCCGGGTCTGTGGAAGGGGCAAGAGAGACAGGAAGTGAGGCTGGAAGGGGCCAGGCACCCGAGGTGTCCAGGGACAGGTGCAGGGCAGAGGTGCGGGAGCCATGCCTGCGTGGGGCTGCTGGGAAGGCAGCACTTCCCACGGGAGGGCCCGCCGCGGGGGGCGGGGGGTGCAGCCCTCGGAGCGACCGGGCTCGGCCTCGCCGGTACCTGGCCCCGGCGGCTGGGCTGCCTCCGGTGGGCGCTCATGTCCCCGGCCGCGGCCCCTGCGTCCTCACCGCACCTCCCAGCCCTGCTGCGCTCGCCCCCGGCTGCTGCGCGCTCTCCTGCGAGCTGGGGAAGATGCGCAGAGGAGGGAGAGCAGGCGAAGCAGAGGGTGCCAGCTCACCAGCGCGCTCCGATCTATGGGAGTAGCTGCTCTTATAACCATGACAACGGGTGCCGGCTCCGCACTCACGCTGGGGGGCAGGAGAGTCCCTTCTCAGATTGGCTGGAGGGCACGAGGCTTCCACTGTCACCCCCATGCAGAGGTCAGGACCCCGCTCAAGGGCCCCCGTGGGAGGCCAGAGCCTGGTCACTCCTCCTCCCCTGGCTCTTTGAGGAAGGAAACGCAGCCCATGGGTCTCCTTCCTTCCTTCCGGCAGGAAGCCGCGCTTTCATTCCTCACACTGCCCTCCAAAACCTAGGCTAGTGCCCGCTGCTGCCCCCCAGTGCCTCCCACCCCGAGTCCCTTCTGGCATCCACCCTCTACCTTCTGGCTGTGACACGGGTCTGCTGGCTCCGGCAACACAGGGCACAGAGTCCTGTCCTCAGGGCCTCAGAGGCTGACTTCCCCGTCCCGGCCTTCCCTCCCCCACCCCCCCAACAGCCCCAGCCTCTGCAGGCCTAGTCACCTCTTCTCTGTCCCTCCAGTCCCTAAGCTTCCCCAAGAGCCCGAGAAGGTGGGAAGACGGGCTGCCTTCCTTCCGACCTATTCCAGGACCTTCCTTGGCAGTCACCTCAGACAAGGAGTCCCTCTACGGACAGGGCAGCGCACAGGACAGGGGCCTCCCCCGCCCCCTCCCCCCACCCAGACTTCTGAGCTCTCAGGAACCAGAGTGGGGTTTGGATTGCTGAAGCTGAGGGCAGGCAACCTAAGGTGGGGGACACTGCCCAGGGCCTTGGGACAGAGAATGTAAAGCCAGGGGAGAGCCCTCCGCCTGGGCCTGACTAGGCCCCTGCACACAGCAGCTGGGATGCCGGGGAGGGGGGTGGTGGATAGACCGCGCCGGGCTGGTGCGGGGCTGGTGCTCCGAGATCGGGGCAGAAAAGGGAAGTGTGCAGGCGCTGAGTCAACAGCACAGGAGCCACGGTGCCCTAAGGTCTCTGGGGTCCAGCATCCTCCCCTCCCCCCCACGCAGAAGCCCAGGTCTGCCAGCCAACAAGCAGAGGCCGTGAGTTCTGTTCCCCACTTCCCATCGCCTGCTTTCCTCCTCTTCCCTCCTCCGCCCTCCTCTGGGTCACCCCCCCACCGCCAGCCTTCCCCTTCTCCCCCCTCCTCCCACTCCCAGGCCTGGTTAGGGAAGCTGACCCTTGCAGCCCTGGCCTCCAGTGTTCCAGGCCTCCATTTTTCTACCCTGTACCTACCCATCTGGACCGCTAGAAAATTCTCCCTTTGGGTTAACTTCCGCCTGTCTTGCCCCAAATTATAGCTCCTCAGAAGATCAAATCCTCCCCTGAAGCACCATCCTATACGACCGTGCGGACCAAGTCCCCACGGCCCCCCCACGCCACACACCCTCTCCGCCCCTGCACTCCCAGCCTCCGCGAGGACACCAACGAGAAGTCCAAGCACTCACTGCACTTGAACTGAAAGGAGCAAACTGGCAAACATGAAAATCACATGGGGAAAACCACGTCTGGAAGGGGTCGTGGTGCGGGCCCGCCCCTGAGCAGCTCCCCCCCACCCCCTGTGCCCTCCGCCACCTGGAGACCCCCCTGGACAGAAGCAGGGGAGGGCGGGCAAGCACGGGCAGCCAGGGCACAGGGCGTCTGGGCCCTTCCCTGCCCGCCATCGATGCCCCACAGAGGGCCCGGGTGCTTAGGGCCCAGCCCCTCTGCTCCCCACACTCACCCTCTCTCCGAGGGGCCCCCTCTGTAGGTGAGCCAGCGGCGGGCAGCAGCCACAGCAGCACATGCCACCTCGGGCAGCCAGCGGCCCTGGCACCGCCTAGTGCTATTGTCCTGGCCCAGCCTGTGCCCGCCCCAGGCCCCGCTGGGAGGACGGAAGGACCCAGGACCCGCCACTGGGGGGAGGCCACTCCTGAGACGCGGCGGGGGCACCCGCCTCTCCATCCTCCTCTCTCCAGGGTATTCTGAGGACGGTCCCGCTGGGCTCCCACCCACCCGCAGGACAGCCCGTGGGGCGAGCCCTGGGCCGTGGACCCCCAGACCCACACCGCCACGCCCAACACACAGAAGCCCTTGCTTCGGGGTTCAGTCCTCCGACGGGTCAGCCCTGCTCATTCGCCCCACGGAAGCCTCAAGTCAGGAAGCAGGGAGGAAGGCGGCCTATGCAACAGGCACTGGGCGCACATTTGCAAGGGAAGGGAGGGCGACTGGGCGGAGGCACGACGGACACAGAGGCCCGGGGTCCCAGCAGCACCCCTGTCCCGCTCCAGGGGCCCTCAGTCCTCGCCCCTGGTTTCTCCTCCACTTCCTTTGAGCCTAGACCCTGAGGGTTTCCTCCGGAGGCCCGGAGAGGCCAACCCAAGCTCCTCTCTATGGTCCCTCTAGACCGTGGTCACTTGGGGGAAAGAAGGACGGGCGAGGGGCCGAGGGCAGTGTCCCCGTCTTCCCCCTCTCAGCACCGTGCCTCCCTCGACAGCAGTGGCGAAAACGGTGACGGATGTGAGGAAGGCACTGCAGAGCCGGGCTCCCCGGTGGGCAGCACTGGCTGGCGGAGCCCCCGGGAGGGCGGGTGCCTCTCCCAGCAAGGCCCCGGGGCAGCCACATGGTGCCCAGAGTCGCCTCGGCGATGGCCACAGCCCCTTGCTCAAGACGATGAGGCCCCTGCAGGGTGACCAGAAGGCACCCGAGGGTTCCGCTGGGATCCAAGTCCCCCGCGGCTCAGCGCCTGACCAGCCGGGGCGCAAGAGTCATAGGCTGCGGAGGGCGCTTGGGGCTGGGAAATGGGGAGACAGAGGTTCCTGGCCATGGACGGGGCTGAGAAGGTGGCTCAGGACGGCCTCGGCCAGACTCTGGTCCTTTATGAGCTTCCAGGGACAAGGTGAAGGCAGCAGGCCGAGGGGAAGGTGGCCAAAGCCAGAAACGTAACACAGAAAGGCATCACCGGACACACAAAGGCACTTAATAAATGCTTGATGAGTGAGGATGACACACCAGACGAGGTGGGCGGAGGGGGGCCCTGGCGGAGCAGAAGAGGGGCGCCAAGGGCACGGGGAATCAAGTCAGGCTGGGGACCCTGAGACTCCGGCATCCTGGACCCCTGCCTGCCCCCTGCCCGGCCACACCTGTCGGGTCAGGAGAGAGACAGCAGAGGGGAGGGGGAGAGAGGCAAACAGACGGGCATTTGTGCAGGCGAACAATAGCTGTGCCAGGACTCCCTGGCCTCCTGGCACAGGGCAGGCCGGCTGGGCTGGGAGGGGGCAGCTGCTGCCCGCACCCCCTCCCCCAAGACGCACAAACAAATCCAGAAGGGTCCAGCCAGCTTCCCTCAGCCGTTGCTGTCCCCAGCTCCAGGAGCCCCGGCCAGTCTGCTCACTCAGGCTCCTAGACGGCCCTCCAACCAGAGCCGAAGCTAAAAATGGAACTACTTCCCAAAAGCTCAAGCCCCCTAAGCTGGTGACCACCGCTCAAAACAGTAACCCAGAGCATCTGGGGACAGACAGCCACACACACACACACTTGACACAGGTCACACACTTGCACAGGATTCACACGTTCAGATCTGTCCCCTCCAGGATCCAAGGTCAGGTCCGGGGAAGCCAGGGCAGGGCTCAGGCCCCTCTCTCAATCCTCTGCTGAGCCCAGCAGGCCCTTCCCCAGGAACAAGCTACCCCTGCAGCAGTGACTTCCCTTCCTCGGCTCGATCCTGAACCTCCATGACCCCTAGAACCTCTTCCTGTGCCCCTGAAAGCTTCAGCCTCCTAGGGACCCTCAGTTCCCGCAAAACTTCCCTGCAAAACTGCCAGCCAGGGCAGCCCCTCCCTGCTCGCCCAGCCCTCCCTCCAGGCCCAGCTCCTCTCCCAGTCCACCCTGCACACAAAGCCAGCCACCTCTCCTTACTCAGAACAAAGAAATCGCCTCTCCCTCTCCCCCGCTCCACCTGCCCCACACACGCCAACGCTGGGGACCCTGGGAACTCCAAGGGGACCCCAGCCTCCAGGGCCGTCCTGCTCGCTCCTAGACAGGAAAGGACCCTTTGTTCTGACACATGAAGGTTAGGATTTGGGGGAGGCGGGGGAAGAGCAGAGGGCCACAGGGAAAGGGGCTTGCGGGGTTTGGGGCCAGGGAAGGCAGGAAGCAGAGAGAAGGGGGAGTGGAGGAACAGGGGTGGCCGGAACAGACCCGTGGCGGGCGGGGGGGGGGGGGGGGGGGGCTGCAGCCAGCCTCTGTGGAGCTGGGAGGAAAGGGGTATGCGCGCTCGCTGGCAATTTCTCCTTCTCTGAGACGCCCCCGGGTGTAAGGCAAGGGGCAGGGGCATGGGCTGGGGGCTCGGTCTGACCCATCCCTCCAAATAGGTAGCAGGGGAGACCATCTCCCTCAAATAATCTCATTTCCAGCAAGGCCCCTCTGCTTCCCACCACAGTATAAAAAGAAAGGAGACAGCTGGTGTGCTGGGGGAGGGGAAGAGGGGATCCAGGGTTTGTTGGCCAAGCACCAACTCCCCCCTTCTGTAACCACAGCTTTCCGGAGGCGGCCCTCCCCTTCCGACCAACCCAAACCGACAACCACCCTCCTCAGGCGGGGTTGCCCTTAGATCCACCCACTGAGTCCCCCCCAAACCCC